AGAAAGAGAGAGATAAGGGAAGGAAATATGCTAGAGCATCAGTAGAATGTTGCAAACATGAGCCCTTATCTATGCAGCCTAGACAGCAAAAGCTGGCCTTGTTTTTCTTTCTTGATGCTTTTTGAAGCAATTACTTTCTCCTCGTCTTGTCTTCAGTGTTCTACTTGTCTTGCGGCATGTTCTTGAGCTGAACATAGATAGTGTTGCACTTACCGGTATCTCGGGGCACAATGTTATTGTTAATTGATTGATATGTGGGGTTTAACGTCCCAAACCCACATATGATTATGAGAGACACCGTAGTGGAGGGCTCCGGAAATTTCCACCACCTGAGGTTGTTTAACGTGCACCCAAATCTGAGCACACGGGCCTACATCATTTTCGCCTCCATCGAAAATGCAGCCGCCGCAGCCGGGATTTGACCCTGCGACCTGCGGGTCAGCATCTGAGTACCTTAGCCACTATAGACCACCGCGGCGGGGCAATGTTATTGTTATTGGTAATAAAATTACAGTGACGTTTCATTTCAATATGCTGCCGGAGAGCAAAGCTCTAAGAACATGTACGCTCTAACAGTGCGTAGGTGGCAAGGCTACTTAAGTGTGGGTCTAAGTTGCCTTACCTGACATTAGGAAATATGCATCGTGGCACGGAAAGCATAACTTAAATTAAGAATGGCCAATTTGTACGTATTGTTAATGCTGGTGCTCGTGACAGGTCAAGAGTGACCCACAAGGAAATATGGATGGTGAGAGGATGAGGCGAATAAAATGACAAATAAGTAGAGACTAGCTTCTCAGCAGTACAGCCGGGAATTCGCGTGATAACACAAATTAGATACTTCTGAATGCGCCAATATTCCATTTGAGTCGCTAATTCACTTCCCATTCTAAAAGGGTCATCTTGCTGTGGGAATCGCCTGGTGAAAACACTCACTGTTTGCGCCTATATGCGCCTCCGCACTGTTGTATGGCATAACTCTGCGATGAATACTGTTTTGAAGTTTAGTTTTCTTTTTTGCAGACCAAAATCAACGGATCTGAGCATCATGGAAGCCCGCCATTGCAAAAAGGTATGCTACTTGTTTCTTGCGTGATTTTACGACTTAGTTCTGCTGTTGTATATTGCAGTATTCTCCAACTTAAGTGACAGCCAGTTTCTTCTTTCTCCGAGTCATATTCGGGCGAACATTTTTTTATCCGATACTCTGTTTAAAAAACATTTCGCAATACATTTATTTTGAAGACTCCAGTGCATTTCATTTTAGCACTGACAGCGCATCGGGCAGTAATTCACTGGCAACCATCACTGCTGGCATTGATAGATCCACGCTCTTCGTAGCTGCACTTCCGCTTGCTGCATGTGAGGAACTAACTAGGAGGAGAGGACAAAGTTTAATTATTTTGATAGGCAAAGAGCTTGCCTTGTATATATTTTACTAGCCAGCATCTTTGGTGCAGGGAAAAGGGAAAAGGAATGAGATATGTCATGTATAACGATAAAGATAGAATGAATTTGTAATATACATATTCAGACTAGTTTAATGATAGCTTGAGTTTATACGTTTACTGAAAGAAAAGGTAAACAAGGCCTGGACAGAGTGAACACTATACGAGAGAAACATTTAAGAAAATACAAATTGAAGAAGGTGGTAGCTTAAATAAAATCAGTGAACAATTTTCTCAAAACGCATGGCCGATGAGACCGCGGCAACCTGGATTGTTCTTTCGGCTGACGGCTGAGCAAGCGTAAACTGTGTTATGCCCAGCACCTCCCCGTCATCGTATATTCTGCCTGTTTTCGGAAGAAAGAATCCTGCGCTGCCGACAGGTCGCAAAAAAAGGCTGTGAAGGCGCTCCTGCGCTTCTTGCGTTCAACCGGCCTGTCCAAACGACTGTGATCGGAACTCCCTGAATGTGTGCGCATGTGGTTTTTTTTCTAATTTATTTTATATCTCTCTATATCTATCCTCTTTCCGACCCTTTTCCCCACCCCCGTACAGGGTAGCAAACTAGTTCGTCTAGGTTAACCTCCCTGTCTCTTCCTTTTATTTATTTCTCTCTCTCTCTCTGTCTTTCTCTCTGCCTGTTTTCGGATTTATGGTCCGTTCCGATGCACCTACCTTTGTAGTTAACCTTCTAGAGTCACTCTTGTAACTTACCCTCGTAACCTAGCTACTCTGTCCACCCATTTTCATTTTTTTTTTTAATGCGGATATGAACGAACTGAAGTTGTGCGTTTCTGAATGTTCCAAGTGGTATGAAATGAATGAAAGAACGTATGAAATCAACAGGCGCGTGTTGGTTGAAGCAAGTGCATTAAGGCAACTCGTACTGAAACAAATGGAAACATATCGGGTGTTATTTGTGCTCTATTGTAGTGAAATTCACAATATACTGCACAATGCACTTGGACGAAAATAGAAAAAAAAAACATTTTATTGCCGATGGTAAGGACCGAACCCACTGTCGAGGAGTTGCGACCGGTGAAGCAGAGAATTTCGATAAAATTTTGGGCACCGCACAAGACAAGGGTAAAGGACACATTGTAAGAGTTTGTTGTAAATGTTTTCGTGAGGTCAGCCAAAAAAAAAACAATCAGTGGATCAGTAGCCAGTAGATAACACTCGGTAGTGCGACCATTTTCACAGCCTTCCATCGGAGAAAGACCAGCGCGGCGAGGTGCAGTTACTGTAGCGTTATTTACATTTAAAGGTTGAAAATCACGTCAATACTATCTTTTAATTTCACCCTTAGCCTCTATAAAATTTTAATCCAATACAAGTAGCCCACTGCGTGGTCTTGATTTATCTGTTACCTGACGCATACTACCCTTTGTAATTTTCGACAAAGAGTTTTCACTACAGTAAGCATGTAAAGGCTGCTTTTGTAATGTTACTTACACTAAAACACATTATGATGCATTTACGTTAGTCTCGTTTTGTACCCGATAATTAAAAGGAAAAAAAAGGAGAGCCCTTAAGCTTCGCTTTTAAGAGATGCACGTGATAGCGATATTCTGTTCCTAGTGCGTACTTGAAACACTCCGTGTGTGAAATCTTTTCGAACTTGCTATGCGCTCACTGCGTGACTTTAAGGGTGCAGTATCGTGTGTGCTTTTGTATAGTAGGTGAGTGGCATAATGATAATCCCATCTAATGCCAGATGGCAATGTACGCTTGTACCACGCATTATTACGGCAATGTTTCATGTTGTATTGGGAAGCATGTATACAAGACGCGTGTGTTCGTGAAGCCTGGAAGTTACTTTCACTGTATTTATTTATTTTTTATTTATTTTTTTACATAATACTGCAGGCCCAGTGAAGGGCCCAAGCAGGAGGGACGTATTTACAAAGCTCGTAATAAGGACAACAGAAGATCAAGAACATAAAAAGTGCGAAGAATAAGGACATAACTCAAACAATGAATAAGAAAGAACATTTAACACTTTAACAATACAGGTCAAGATACAATATGCTCAATTGAGTCTATGCTATTTATGAATAATGCTGGTAATTGATTCCATTCGGTTACAGTGCGCGGGAAAAAGGAGAATTTGAAAATGTTAGTTCTAGCATTGAATGGTGTTAGAGAGTCGGCATGCCGGTGTCTTGTTGTGCGAGCGGTGAGTGGTTGGATGTATTGTTCTGGTCTCATTGACAATTTGTTATTCTTGAGAAGATAAAGAAATTTTAATCTTTGAATTTTACGTCTTAGTTCTAAGGTTGGTATGTTATGGTCTCTCATGAGTTGGGTTGGGGAATCGCTTGAACGGTATTTAGAATAAACGAACCGAACCGCTTTACGCTGAATTTCCAAGCAGAGGAAGTTATATTCAGTGTAATCACAAGCAGAGGCGTGGTATTGTGCTATAGCACTCGCGTGCCACGCGAACGACCTGGGTTCAATCCCAACTCAGACCTATGTAGACTTTTTACTTATTTAATTTGCATCTGTCTCGATTTTTCGGTCACTCAAAGGTGATGAATTTCCGCTCACAGGCAATGACGCCGATTCCAACGCCGACGCCAGAATTTCTGGGAAGCGAACTTTTTAACGCTATCGCGTTAAAACAAAAGCACTAACTTGAAGCAAGTGTAAAGAGCGCTTTGCCGTTATGCAGTGTGTTCACTGTTGCGGCACCCTTTACAGGCGCAATTGTTTCTGGTGGACTAGCGCTGTCGACGAAGAATTGTAAAAAAAGTACTTTCAGCAGCGTCTGTCGTACCTCTTCTTAAGGTGGCTTAGTTGTCCAATCGTCACTTTTGTCTATTTCGCTTCACAATGTTGCCTTTTAGTGGAAGCTGAGATCGTGACACGTTTCAGACAACTGCTGCTTCAGGTGAAAAGACTAACGCATACTTGACTGCTTTTGTAGGTTGGCCTCTCACTGTTCTTCACTATGCAGTAGAATGTTCACCCATTTCACGCAATATAGCGAACACGAGTAAGATATTTTTAAGTGTGCAAGTTATAAAAAAGAGCACGAAGTTAACAGACATTGCTCAGCATGCTAAGTGATATACAAGACCTGTGCAAAAAACAATGGTAGACATTTTTTTTTTAAGTTGTTTGAGTTCCCTATTTCACCAGCTGTGATATCTTAGCGGCTATAGCGTGGGCCAGCGAAGCTCTAGGGTGTGGGCTCGATTTTCGGGTCTCGGCGTTCACACTTCGATGGGGGCGAAACGCAAAGACATTTCCGTACTTAGATGTCGTCAAAGAACTTCAGGTAGAGAAAAATAACCCGGACACTGCCAATAATTCACGTAATGCAAATTCAGTGCTTATATCATTTTTTTCTGTCCTCCGTGTGTTATTTTTGCACTGTTAGCCTTAAGTGTGCACAACCAACTAGCTTGTCAGCTACCTTGTTCTGCCAATACGGCGCGTCTCATGACAGTGTTGTAGTTTTGGCACATGAAACCCCAGATCTAGAGAGTTTGTCGTCTCAGCTGCGTGAATGTGACCTTTGTGGCTGTTGCAATCTGTTTCGAAGCATTTTCTCATCGTGAGGCCGAAAGATGTGACGTGACCTCTTCGCTGCGAGCGGCGTCTGCCGAGCCCCCGACGCCGCTCTACCCTCGCAGCCTGCTGGCGACTAAACCCGGCAGCCCGGCAGACACGCCGCACGGGTTCCAGCGGTGGAGCGCCTCAGGTGAGTTCTAAAAAGGAAAGCCTTAGATGCTTCCTCAAAAGCCAATGGGGACGGCATCAACGGCGTCAGCACGGATGATGCAAAAAAAAAAGCAAAAGAAAAAAATCACGCTATGACGTCATAATATATCGACAAGATAGTATCACAGATACCAAAACTTGTGACATTATAGCGATGTCACCATGACATCAATACAACGTCACGTAAACAGATGTGAAATTGTGGCGTCATCACATGACATCATCCCTTGGTCACAGATGTGCCGATACCGTAGGCAATACAAAACCAGGTAAGGTGCGGTAATTGCAATGTTTGTTGCGATCCTGGATTCAGTGCAAAGCCCCCTCATGTGCACAGAGCTTTCGCAAGGGATTATTACGTCAGCTTAGATGACAAGAAGAATAGGGCTTTCGCCTTCGTGTCGTCTTAAGCAAACGCATAAGGGTCCCTATCAATATTTTGCTCACCGACCCGGCTAGCGTCTTTCTGTACCCTAAAGAGAGCATCAGTGAAACTTGCGGTTGCTTTGAAGTGTGGCAGCTTGGGCTAGTTGGTATGGCAAGACGATAGTTATAGCGCGAGAACAAAACGACACCAGAGAGACACGTGTCCTTCGTGCCCTTCTTGTCTCTGTGTCGTCGTTTTGTTCTCGCGCTATAACTATCGTCTTGCGGTTGCTGTCACGTGCGAGAGACTCACGTGATCTGCCACGTCACTTGACCAGAAACTTCATGTGGTACGTCATATCAATGCCAAAAGTCCTTGAGGTTTCTGAGTGCTGTTGCATAAGTGTTGCTTATTTTACCAGTGTCTGAGGTTGGCCCATGTCTCTGGGGGCCCAGTGACTTATAGCTGTGCCGCTTCACTGCAGAGTCAAAAGCGATGACGTCATACGCGATGCTTCGTGCCATACTAGGGGAGTTTAATGCATGTTACAGCCATAAAATTACGCTGCTGAACTCTTTGGGGGACGGAAACGCGCACACGGCTAGTGTGAATCTAATATATTCACATAGTCTTCTTGCTACTTGAGCAGTTACTTATCAGCATAGGTCGTTGAACTCATCCATGCGCCGACTCACTTGCACTCACTCACTCTCTGATCGAGCCTTTATTCTAAGTCTGAGTGAGTCCTGTTGAAGAAATTTTACTTGAGTACGAGTCATGTTTCTTTCTTTCTTTCTTTCTTTCTTTCTTTCTTTCTTTCTTTCTTTCTTTCTTTCTTTCTTTCTTTCTTTCTTTCTTTCTTTCTTCTTTCTTTCTACGGTCAGGCTGGTAAAGATCTCGCTCGGATCCAAACACTGACACTACTGCTCGTATACCGAAGAGTTGTCACATATTCCCAAACCACGTTACAAGTAGCTTTAATAAATTGTCGCATTGTATATCCGCCGCTGTCGTTTAGCGGTTATATAGTGTTCGACTGCTGACCTGCACGTCACGGGATCAAATTGCGGCCGCATTTTTGACAAAGGCAGAGTGCTCGAAGCCCACTAGCTAGGGTCAAAATTTTCGGGGCACTCCACTACGTTGCCTTTCATAATGATATCGTGACTTTGAGAACTATAACCCCAACGATTGTTAATAATCATTGTTGCATTATAGTTAAACATTTGCTGATTATTTCAGGAATTCACGCACACCTTTTTGTTCGCTTCATTGTTTCCCCTTCCCTTTCTTTAACGAGCTTCTTTCACCAGAAGCACTTCTTTCAAATGCATCGTGAGGTCTCAAAATTGTTTGTCTTTATTCAATGTAACATGGATATTCAGGCACACTTTTCTTTATTTATTTGTACGTACAGGTCGCGGGATAGAATCTAAGCTGCGGCGGCTGCATTTTCGATAGAGGTGAAAATGATGCAGGACCGTGTGCTCATATTTGGGTGCACGTTAAAGAACCCCAGGTGGTAGAAATTTCCGAAGCCCTCCCCTATGGCGTCTCGGATAATAATGTAGTAGCTTTAGGACGTTAACCCCAGCCCCCCTCATACTATTCATTTATTTATTTTGAAGTCCCAAAATACAGCTCACTTTTCTGTATAAGCATTGACAGAAAGACATTGTGTTGATGGTAGTTTTAATTTTCATAAATGCACTGCTTTACCTATGCCTGTCCGTGTTTAAAGGAAGACTCTAATCTCATTTGCTGTTGAATTTAATTGCAAGATAATAATTTGTTCCATGACACTGCTTTTGACAACTATTGTACGCCAGGACAGAGAATTCCTTCATCTTTTTCAGAATGTTTCCGTCAAATGTGCCCTCACGAGACAAAACGTGCTCTCATTCATCTTTGGGCAAGTCGCAGACTCAGGCGTGATTGGTGATTTTTTTCGAGAAAGCAACTACCAAAGTCAAATTCAGAAATTGATAAGCTATGTATACATGTCCACATGTCGGCGTTGCGATGCAATTCTACCCATCACCTTAATAATGTCGATGTGTCTCTGACGTAATGCGGCGTGATATTTTGACCAGTGTTCATTTCCGTTACCTTATCCTTCGGAGCAGGTGCACGATGACCTTTTGCGAAACGTCATGCTGGCCTAACCAGGCCCAGCGAGAAACACAACCGTAGAGGTACAGCCTCTGACTTCATCTATACATATCTCACGACTCATGCTTCCCTACAAACCAAACTAGGCACCCTCATATGCAAATGCAGCGCTGTTGAAACAGTGCATGGATGGTTAGGAGGTGTAGCTTTACAGCGAGTACAGTGTTTGAGTGTCATAAACAACTGGCCTGTGAGACAGCCGGTGCTTTTGTGCAAGATGTATTCACCATTTAAACATATATTGGGCACCCATACATAGAGAAGCAGCACAAAATATGGGGACACGGAAGGGAAAAGCAAGGCACTTATTTAATCGCTCGTCTGTTCCTGCTTGTGTCTTTTGCTGTGCATGTGCATGTACGAATTCTTACAAATTTCACTTATTGCAAGCGATGTTGTAGTTGATTGTGTGTTCTGACAAAAAAATGTTGATAAGCCTACAATAGCGCTATCTCTAAAGTTCAATAGCATCATTGAACTGGTGACCGCACAAAGGGGAAAAAGTACGGATAAAGTTTATGTCACTTTTGCTTCTTTAGCTAAAGATTTAAAATCGCACCGTCTACTAACTTCAAAAAGTTATTTAAGATAATTAGCTTCCATCCAAGAAGCTTTAAAAAAATTAAGCAATTAATCATGAACTTCAACGTACCGACGCGACACGGTCGACTATATATTAGAAACGTTTACCGAAGGACTCCGAGCTCGTTTTTTTTTTTTCACCGGTGTTCTTCAAAATACACCAAAATCTAAGCACTCATGCGTTCTTCAATATTCAACCATCCACGTAAATGCCGGGAATCGAACTCGTGACCTCGTATTAGGCATAAAAGAGCGTCGTGACCGCTGCGGGCATCCACGACCTTTCCGAAGTGGGGTGCGCAAGAAAATCTTTCTCTCGTATTTTTGCACGTTCTCTCGAACTATGAAATTACTCGCCAAGGTAGTCTAGAGGTTACGCTGCTCGAGTGCTAACGCCAAGAGCGCTGGATTTGAATACCGGTGTTGCGGGCCGCATTTCGATGGAGAAAAATGGCTAAGGGCGCGTGTACCTAGATTCGGCAGCCCTATAAAGGACACCACATGGCCGAATTTCCGGAGCCCTCCCCTACGGGGTCCCTGGTTGTCATGGCGTGGTTTTGGGGTGTGGATCCCACACGATTACATTACGAAACCGAGAAATTTTCCTTGTGACACTGCGTACGTACCGCACTGAGTCTCGTATGTGTAGCCACAATTGTTAGCGGTAGCGTCAATGGTGAACCGTGTTCGCGCACGGCCGAGTTTACAGTAGTGGCTCGAAGCGACCCGTTCCGCTTCGGTTATTATTCATCAAAGGGCTCTTCCTACTGATTGGCGCCTCAGGGGCAGAGGCTGGACACCGGTGCCAATTAAGCTGATGGCCAACGTCCGTAGGTGTCGATGTTTGACTACCCGGTTTTGCCTAGCGAAAAAATAAAAGCAATTTTTCTTCATCCGGGCATACCGATCTGCTTCCTGTCTTTGCCGAGAAACGTTAAAACTCCAGTGTGTCCCTTTATAGACGTCTTCGGTTTGTAAGGAAGGTAAAACTTAAGTCTGTATATCTAAGCCAAGCTCTGCGAACACGATTTCTGAGAAAGCAAAAAAAAAAACACTGCACTGTAGAAAAAAAGTACAAAGTGCTGTTTTAGTCTTATACTGAGAGAACTGGGCTTGAGAACGAAGATGAGGCACTGAATTGGCCGATGGCAAGTCTTGTCTGGCCTGGAACACGAGGTTAAATCAGATGCACAGCAGGAAGGGGCGAAACTTTTGATCAGACATCGACAATTTTAATTATTATTTTTATTTCTGCACGCATGTTACTGCCTGTATGGTATACTCGGTTCAGAGGGCTTTCAAAGACAGCGAAAAACAAATGCAGAAGTCAAACGTAACCAAATAGCCTGACTGGCACCGAAGAAGATATAAAAGAGAGCGAAGTGAATTAGTTAATGGGAGTGGTAGGTACGTTATCACTAGATTTGACCGGAAGAAGCAGTAAAGCACAAACTTAATAATATTCAAATGTACCCGAAGAGCTCCTGTTTGACACTGATATTAAATGGTGAAACGAAGTTTATGAAATGGGGACTTCGCTATCTCGCTTCTAACCAGCTGCTCAATGAAAGTGTAAGACTCGAACTCCACGCTTCATAATAATATTTAGTATAAAATATTTCTACAATATCGCTTGTTTTTTTTGTTTAGATATACTATATAATTTTAAATAATTTGCTTTACTCTATTGTCCACCCGCGTGTGTTGGTTTCTCCTTTTCTTTTGGTGCATAGTGGTAAAGTGCTCTTAGGCGTCGTTTTTCGTGATTCATATACAGCGGTAGCCGCACGTGGGGTGACTGACATTTCAATTGTGAATTGAACATGGTATGAAGTTTCTGTCACCAGTTCACAGTGCAA